CCTAAATTTTATTTTTCTCATTGGTTGAAAAAAAGGCGCCAATGAGAAAAATAAAATTTAGGCAAAAACCACGTTGATTATGTCGACGCCAAAAAAGAAGTGAAGATGTAATTATAAGGAACCCGCTGTCTGATTCACCGACAAATTTTGCATCTGGCGCCCAATTTTTATCCAATTTGGTTCAGCGCGGAGCAAGCACCAAATTTTCTAATGTATTAACTCTATGTTTGATACTTGTGTGTGTTTAAATATATTGCAAAGTTCTCGTCATAGTAGGCTATATTTCTTTATTTCAAATGGATTATAACGTGAATAAGAAAAGAAAAGAAAATCTTCGCTGAAGATCATTGTTGTTTTCTTTCCAGATAAATGATAACAACTAACTGAATAGAATGACATCACTATATACACGTGACATACAAACGTGATGTATAGATGAAAAAAGAAAAGAAGATCAGCATATACGTCTTATCTGCATGAGGCCTGTAACGTTCGTACACACTAAGGAAAAGAAGGAAACATGACATCACTCTACACAGGCAACAGTCTTAATGGATGTTATATATGTGTGAGCACACACTATATATAACGCAGCCCTATTCATTCATATATCTGTCTGTCTGTGTATGCGTTAATCGTTTTAAAATATCGTGAAAGTTTGAAAGGCACATGTAAGGAAGAAGTCGTAAGCACAAGTAGCCTGTTACCGTCTGTTGCACGATTATTTGTCATAGAACATTTACATGTATATGTAGAACATATACATGTCTTAGAACATTTATATGTCCAAGACCTAAATTAACAGAAAAAAGAAAATTTCTGACGTATGTACAACAGTTGTTAAATATTAAGTGTAATTAAATATTACTAGTTATTATACCAAAAGTGAGACACGTATAATTGCATATGATCTAGAGTAATGGCAAACAGAGCAACAGTAACATCATAGTTCGTACTATGAGAAAAAAGACATCGCTTGAGTCAAGACAGCAGAGAAAGGCTTTACTGCTCAATCTTTGAAGTAGTAGATTTTGTTGAAAATATTCCCATAATTCACTGCTCATTCTCTTGACTGAACGTTTGTCTTTGAGTAGTACAGTTGTAGTAGGAGATTAAGATGATTAAGTGGGAGAATTCACTGAAGCCATAACAAAACGTGTTTTCGTACATTATTAAAGCAAAGTTTGTTTAATAAACGAATAATAAGAGCGGTGGACCATACAAAACAACTTGTTTTATTTTCTATCGTCATTGTTACATGGAGAGGAGTCGCCTGTGCATTGTGTGAATGATAGTAGTTTCTTACGAACACGATCTCATCTCTATTGTAAGTATTAGGTAACGAGAGTGGAAATCTAGTAATCGGGCGACTGCTAGATTTCTCCAAATTGCGACTATCAATCTATCGCTCGATAATTGATCGATTTAACTATTGCTGGTTACAGATGCAGACGCATCTAGTTAAAAGTCCCTTTTTCAACTCTAGATGGCAACTAGTTGTGTATCGTCCGATTACACACGAAATGTATCTAGATTTTTTCTATAGGTAATGTTTGCTTGGGAAGATAAGAAAGAAAAAGAAAGAGGAAAACACGTGTATACTAACCTTTATATGCACCTTCACTTTTCTGCGTGTATTCATTTTCATTGTTGAAATGGGCATGACAAGTCAGCATTGCACCTGGAATTCTAAGTAACTTCAACACCTTGTCCGTTTTTCTACACTTCAGATAGTGTAATAATGTCGTTAGAAAAGAACACCAACGAAAGTGATTATGACCAAAATTCATTAGCAGAGAAATACGTTAAGATGAAAGGGTTATCTCATGATGATTTTACTAACAGACGTCTTCTACTTGCAAATTTTGACGCTGATAATATCATTCGTCTTATTAAACGTAGTTTATCCTATTTAAATGTTCCCATCGAATGTGCATTAGATGTTGGCTGTGGTGCAGGATATCAGTGTCGAGTTTTGATTCAAGAAAAAATTGCAGAATACGTCATTGGTGTTGATAAATCAAAACAGATGATTGAATATGCAAAGGCCAATTCAAACTGTGACATTACACACTATAAGTATATCGTTGTGGATGCTGCTACAGATGACTTACTAACGATCTTAGGCAAAAAATGTCCACTTATACTGCAAACATATATGTTATGTCATGCAGAAGATGTTAATCAATTATTACACATCCTTTCCAACATTGCTCGTGTATGTAGTGGAGCTTTTGTCGGATTGATTCCAAATCCCTATTGTGATTACTCAAGCAACTCTGTGAAAAAGTTATTAAAATATGGTGTAAAATTTACAATGAATGACGAAGACAACTTGAAGAAAGATGGTATGAAGTATCAAGTTACATTTGAACAGGGTACATCGAATGAAATTAGCCTCGTTGATCATTGGTACAGTGCAGAGACATATGAAAGAGCGTTTAAACAAGCTGGATTTAAGTTATTTGAATGGATATCTGTTCAATTAGGTGAAAATAAAGAGGCAGAGTATTTAATTGATTCAGTTGACAGCAACCGTGTTATTGGATTTATAGCTAGAATGACGTAAAAAGTTATTAGCGAGACTGACTTGTATTTTCGTCTTTCTGTATGAAAACAAGAAGTACAGTTTGAAATAGAAAATCTCGGATAAAAGTACTGTCGTTGCGAATGCCATTAGTACTTGATTTTATTTTTTTGAAACCAACGCTGGAAAGTCCCTGCTTACGAGAGTCTCCACTACAGCACCGAACATACTGTGTGCTGGCAAATTTTTTTAAAATTATTCACATGTCATTCGAAAGAGCATTCAAAATGATCACTAACCCTGCAATAACTCTTTCTGAAAGTGTTTTGTTAAGAGATGAGAGACAAAACATTCTATTGGGGGTCGCCGATTAATCGTAAAAACATGAATTTTCACTAACCTTTGTATTTTTGATTTTCTCAAAAAGTATGAAATTTCTATGACTGATTCATGATTCATTTGAAAGAGCGATGTTTACTCTATAAGATCATGTATTTAGACATAATAATATGTTTAGCTATCTAGGACGAAATAGTGGAAAACTAATAGGTTTCATATTTTAAAATATGCACTTTTTCCAGTATTTTTAATAAAAGACCACGCATATGGCAGTCCCAGAATGAATCTACATTGATTCATATACAGTAGAACATTTTAAAACGCGGACATGATGTACTTTTATATCAAATGTTGCAGGTAAGTATTGGTTTCATCATTTTTATACTTTTCTAAATTTTGACACAAATGTCAAAGATCTGAATATACAAGATTTTTTGAGTCATTACAGATGTCGAGCAAACATTTTCCTACCAAATGGTACGTTGGCGAGCCCTTTGCGATGTTTTTTATGATTTTACACATGTTTTACGACAAGCATTTTATCTGAGGTTTCCCACGGGTTTTGATCTTAGTTTTGACACATTAACCAAATGCAATAATTTACACATGGTTGAATAGAGCTTCAAAAGTTACATTTAGCGACACGTTTTTTTATCTTCATCAGTTCATATCAGTAGAGAAAAGAAAATTAATTTTAATATTCTATTTAATATTCTAAAATTGGCTGAAAAATGGATATTATGTATCGAAAAACGACATTTTTCTGTTTTCACACACGAAGCTTTTTAGTTTTGTTCTTAAAAATTGCACATGAATCAATGTCACGTACTCTTGTGAAAACTTGATAAAAATTCTTTTCTCCTAATCTGCTAAAATCTTATATTAAACCCGTTTGGGGTGCCTTTCTCGAGCTTGTCTGACTTTCTTTTTGAAAAAATCTATTTTAGAAGGTTAGGAGAAAAGAATTTTTATCAAGTTTTCACATGAGTAGAGTAAAATCCCATAATTCGAACGGACTTTTGAAAAATTGACTTCTTTTGATTATTGTGAGGTTGTTTCTTAAGAAAGTAGATAACTTTTTTCCGGTAGAATGAATCAGGAACGGTGCGTTCAAATTAAGTGCAATGCTCCTAATTCGAACGGCAATGGAGTGGAAAAATCCCTTTTCATCGTGAGTTTATAGTGATGGCGAAAATCGTTACATTTTTCGTGAGTCCAATGGCGATCGCGTTACGCGTTCACGCCATGACTTTTTTTCGTGACTCACGCCGCGACTTTGCCGTGAGAGTCGATCTGGGTTTCCCAGGACCTACCTATCGGCTAAACTTTATGTTTGGGAACTTTCAAAACACATGGAACATAGATTATTGATCAGGGTGAATCTTTTAGCAATGTTTGTTTTCCGAGAAACCTTCAAAAAAATAGTGAATTTCTATTTTACCACTATGAACTTCTATAATAGTTTACAAACAGTGTCATAAGATTCACCGTGATCAATAACCTATGTTCCATGTGTTTTGAAAGTTCCCAAACATGAAATTTAGCCGATAGGTAAGTCCTAGGAAAATGCTCGGATAGGAAATAAGAATTTCGAACTTGTGTAGTTTTGAAGAGGGCAGTCTAGAGGTTCGAATAAACCTGTCAGAATTCAAAATACATTATTTCCCTGGAAATGGAGAGCTTTCAGATTTTGTTCGATAAGGTGCGCCATGCTAGACCTGATCGGAAGGCCTAATTTCTCCACAGATTTCTTTTTCAGTAGGTCTTCTATCAAATACTGGAAACCGCATAGTTCTAACTCTTTCTGTTAAAAAGTTATTCAAAAAATACTTTTTTCCATCCTATTTTGAAATGGATAGTAGATCACTAAGTTTTACGATTTTTCTCTGCTCTAACATCAAACATCACATAATTCATGAATTTATTATATTCCAAAAGAAATTTCGATGTCATATACTCAAATTCCCTGAACGCTGTCAGGGAATGTACAGATTCCCCAGGGAATGTATACATTCCCTGATTTCCAACATTCCCTGTAACATGTATATATATCTATTAGATATAGAAAATTTCAAAAGCAGGCAGATTTCGTTATTGGGCTCAAGAAGAAAAGAATAGTGATCTTTAAGACGGTCTGTCCTAGCATACCCGCAAAGGACAAGTGGCAGAATGTAGGATTTCGTCCCTAAAAAATGACACAATGAGTCAAACATATTCGGAATCAGCGTCAAATTCTGAGTAAAACTGTATTCTCAGATTGTGCAAATTCGCGAAAAGGGTTTATAGTTTCTCTAAACTGGCAAAATGACACTTTTTGATTCAGAATTGAATACTGAGCACGAAAATCGCATTCACAGTTCGTCAAAACGCTTTCGTATGAACAGCGGCCGGAACAAAAATATGTAAGAATCCTTTTCATTGGGCAACGGTTCGGCCCTGACACCTCCAATAACCTGAAGGATTTAGTTAGGTGGATATAGTTAGTACTTTTTGAATTGCAAGAACGGAAAAGAATTCTTTTTCTCTTATTTCAAAGTGAGAATTTAGTCTATATTTTGTATAGAAATAGATAGTCCACATTCTATTTATAACATAAATAGTATATACTATGTGTCTATAGACACGTGTGTGATTGAAGATGTGTTTTTGTTATTCTCATTAGAGCTCTGGCGTATAAGAATTCATCATGTAACACATGCAGAGTTCTGTATGCAAAATATATTCGCATATGCATAGAAAAAAAAATGTTTTTCTTCGTTAGATTTTTTTCTTGGTTCTGTTTTTGTACGTCTACTATGAATCACATCTAATCGTATTCAACTATCTATATATAAATCACAGACTGAGGAAAAGAAAAAGCAACAATCATACAGTTAAGAAACAGCTTTGAAATATTTATAGAATTAAATCTGGTGTACTGTTACGTTAGAAATAAACTTGCACGAATATTTGCGAGGTAGACGGCACACAAACAGATACTACTTCACTCCGTATGGCTATGGCGGTACGATTCTGAGACGGCTTTGAATAATTTGAATTCTTTTGTTAAATGTTCTACATATATTCGTTTATTTGATAAAAAATAATTAAATAAATCTTTGTCCACTTGTGGAATATTTCGAAGTTCATTCCTTCTAATTAGAGTCAGAAGAGGGCCACCGTTTGCGAAACCTTTGTCTCCCAATATCTTTGTATTTAGTGGTATTTGTGGTACGGCATTTACCAATGTCTGTGAATGATTGAGCATTCTGCTATCGTGAACTGATCCAAGATACCCCGTTTTGAAATAAATTAGTCTCCGTTCAGTTGATATAATATAGATAGAGCCTAAACAATGCCTCTTTTTTTTCCCATTGTAATACAAACGTTGATATTGGTCTAAAGCAGATAAATTTTTCTTATTTTATGAAAGCTGCGTTACGGCACAGCTGAATTTTTTAAATAAGAGTTTTCTCTGTTGCTCTCTAAAAAGTCGCTTTTGCAGTGGGAAAAGGAAGCATAAGGTGTTTTTTGAAAGCGGATGCTATCTACTACCGACTGGTAGTAGGACCATCAAATGAAAACAATCCTTGCAATGCGAACTGTTTTTGACTTTGAGCTGTTCTCAAACGATTACCGCTCAAAGATTCGAATCTTTATGTCCTCTCCATGGACTTTGTGGTCCAGATAATTCGAATATCAAGCTTATTTTCCGGCAGTTTTTAACCAGGCTAATACGATACACATAACCGACATAAACATGAAACTAAATATCCTCAAACGTGAAAAATCTGTTTTTTATGCAGAAAAAACAAAGATCGCTAAATTTTCTGTCTTTATCTTGTTTATTTCAGATAAAGTCTGCTTTGCGTCCACCTTCTTACATAAACATAGGATTTGAGCTAGAATCATGAAATGGTGATTGGATTATCAGTGTAGAAAAATATATTTTGAATAGAAGGTGCTGTAAGTGCTTATTGGAAACTTTCTTAAACATACTCGGGCGCTGTATAAAATGTCTTGTACCATCGACGGCTCCTATATATCTTCCCAATACCGGGTGAAACAAGGTTAAGTTTGCCATTTCGTTTTGATTTGGTCACCTGATCATTGAATTTAAGGTTTTGACTAGAACGGGTAAACAGAAGAGCCGGAATCGAGAAACTTGATAAGGAGACAGACTGAACGTCAAACTGAGTAAATTGTAACTAACGGGTGATCCAAGATAAATTGCACTAAATTCTGATGCATTTTTCTCTCATTTTCCATCTATGAAAAATATGCTCTAATATACCGAAAGATAGAGAATTTCAAGCTCTACAAAACTGTTGACTTTGTTTTTCAAACAAGTCTTCCTTGTTGGCGTAAAATTTAAAAGATGAACATCTACTTAATTGTCCAACTGCAACGGTGAAAAAAACGAAAAATCTGGAAATATTTTTAAAATGAAGGTCCCGTTGAAATGTCAACTATCTCACGAAATTCTCCGTAAAATTTTGCATCTTTGGATGCATGTTTCAGAATTTTAGAAGAAATATTTTTGAAGAAACAGTTTTCAAGTAAAGTGCCGAAAAAAGTCCTTTTCTGATAGATCTATGCCATTGTTATTTATTAATTCGAAACAAGCTAAATGTTTTCACTGTTCAATTTAACACTTACACCGTTTTGTTCAGAATTAAATTCTACATCCGATGGCATAATAATAAATCTCTCGTAGAGCAAGT